TTTTAATGGGTAGACACGTAGATAAATAATGAACAGGTTGAAAGGCTCATCTACAAACTTGAAAATTTGCCCACGAATTAGCACTGAGTGCTGATGACACAGGAATTACTATAGGTGGTTCCAGTGGCCCATTTCCTCTGGTAATTGGCAGTCATATTTGATCACTCTGTCTTTCCCCAAGAAATAAATGTTTTATTGTCTTTGTTGTATATTGTGAAACCCTTTTGTGCTTATTTCATGCTTTCTGGCCTGTGTTGTGAAGTTTGAATACAAATCACAGCTTAAATGTATTTGCCATGCTTATAATTTCTTTCAAGAGATCACGTAGATGTCCCTAGGAGTTCAGTGTTCATGGCACATCGTCTGATGTTCTATTTAATTTTTAATTCTATGCCAGTTTATAAAATAGTATATGCAAGGGTAAGTATGTAGGTCATGGAATTTTCAAATGTATTCTTTTTCTTGTTGGTATCCCCTAGAAGTAAAAATTTGTAAAAATCATGATACGACTGGAAAATTAAAGAAAAATAAGTGGTACAGTTAACATTTATGAATGGCTTTTGTAAGTGGTCATGGTCCATTATGTGATTTTTACAGTCTTGTTTGTCCCTGTTTTAATAGCGCATTTTATAGTGCAATTAGTGATAAAAGCAGCAGATATCAGAGACACTACACTTATGTATTGTAAAATATATTGCTTGTGAACCTCCTCAGTCTTGTAGCAGTGGTAATTGTTGCCTGGCCTACAAGGAAAACAATTACAGAAGGGGGGAAAGGCTTAGGAAGCTGAGGCTGCGGGAGGGTAATCACTTTATGAAAAATGTATGTTGGCTGGACCATTAGGGATTTCTCTAACTATTTTCTCATGGTGAGTTTGAGGCTCCTTCTGAGGAGAATATTTGAAGAGCTGTCCTCTGGATGGCTTCCTAATCTCAGGAGAAATAAAACCCACCCAAAGTTTAAAAAAACAGAACATAACTAAGAGCGTGTCAGGGGTGCAGGATTGACTCTAGGATATGGGAACTAATTTTCTTCATGGGTCTCTCAATGGAAAGCAAAATCTCTAAGGGAATGCCCTATAGAAAGAGTCCTACCTTTTCCTTGTTAGACTAGTGTTGGCATTTGGGCTGTTTGGAGTAACACGTATTGTATATCGCTAATTTTGTTAATTATGCCGGACACGCGGAGCCTTGCAGACAAAGATGGGGGATTTCCTTTCCTCTGATTCTTTTCTTTCACTGGAAGAGCCAGAGGTTGTGAAGTGAAATTACTCTTTATGGCTGCCTCAAAGTTTTGCAAGATGTATGTATTCAAACCCCTGTGTGTTTCTCTTATGGCGTGTATCTTAATTTCCCTGGTATGGTAATCACTTACCAGCTTCCCTGATTCTCCCCACTGAAATTCAGCCTTCTCACAGGCGGGGATTGTGACTTATTTATTGCCGTTTCCCTCCTGACATCTAGTAGCAACTGTGCAGTAAATGCGTATTGAATTGGGTGCTGTGTGGCAGGAAGTGCTGATGGCCTCTGCCTCAGCCTCTTTGCCCAGGTCTTCTCCCTTCCCTCACAGTTGATAGTCTTGGCTTGACGACCAGATCTGTTCCTGTTCGTGTGGCCTTAGACGTGGAACCTTTATTAATCACCTTTGCCCTCTGCCCAGTTTTGTATTCTCCCCTTTGGTTGTGGCGAGCAAGCTCGTCCAGGCATAACTCGTTCTCCTTTGCTGTGTCTGTATTGTCAGCATTCCAGCGTGTCCTGCAATTATGTCAGCTGGACCCTCTCCTTTACTTTTTTTCCTTGTGACTCTAGAGTAGTGTTGCTCAACCTCAGCACTACTGACGTTTTGGGCTGAATACCTCCTTTTTTTTCCTTTAATGTTTATTTTTGAGAGAAAGAGAGAGAGAGAGAGCGCGCGCACGCACATGAACGGGGAGGGGCAGAGGGAGAGGGAGACAGAGAATCCCAAGGAGGCTCCATGCTGTCAGCACAGGACCCGATGCAGGGCTCCAACTCACAAACTGAGAGATCATGACCTGAACTGAAATCAAGAGACAGACGCCTAACCCACTGAGCTACCTAGGTGCCCCTGGATAATTCTTTATTGGGGGGGGGGGGGCTGTCCTGTTTATTGTAGGATGTTGAGAATCATTTTTCCTCTACCCATCACAAATATCTAGCATCCTCTCTTGCCCAGTTGTGACAATCAAAAATGTTTTCAGGTATGGCCAGATGCCCCAAGTGGGGCAAAATTGCCTCTGGTTTAAAATCATTGCTCTGGAGAGAAAAGGCTGAGAAATGCTAGACATCCTGCATCCTATATCCTATGTTTCTTTTCCTCTCTCCTTGCTTCTTTAATCCCTCTCCTGTGAGGATAGCAAAGCCATTCCCAAACTTCTCCTCTCTGCCCCCTGGTGGCAGAATTAGTTCTTGCATTCTCTTTGTGCTCGACACGTTCTTGTTCAGACCTTTCCTTAAAACACTTTACTTTGGGGGCACCTGGGTGGCTCAGTCGGTTAAGCGTCCGACTTCCGCTCGGGTCATGATCTTGCAGTCCGTGAGTTCGCTCAGAGCCTGGAGCCTGTTTCGGATTCTGTGTCTCTCTCTCTCTCTCTGACTCTCCCCCATTTATGCTCTGTCTCTCTCTGTCTCAAAAATAAATAAATGTTAAAAAAAAATTAAAATAAAACACTTTACTTTGTAAGGGATATTTTTTGTTTTTGTTTTTCTTTATGTCTGATTAGATTTTGAGCTTCTTGAGGGTAGGAGCTGAGTTTCTCATACTTTTATTTTCAGAGCTTTTATGTAGTATGTGAAGCATAGAAAATACCCAGGAAATTTCATGTGAAGTTGGTTTGGAGGTATAGATTGGAATCATATTGTGGAATCTATTTGAATGCAAAGCTGAGGACTTACCTCAGTGGGTAAACAATACGATACTGAACAGTCTTAAAAGGAGATCTTTGTTTAAGAAATAGTTTTCCATGTCTGACATTTATGTGCAGGACACTTATTGCCGTGGGAAATGAACTGTGATGCTGTTAGGTGAGAGGCAGTGGGAACTGGGATAGGATTAGGTAGAGGAAATGTTGAAGAGGGAATGACTTGGAGGCTGTTGTGTTGGTTGAATAGATAGGACTTCAATAAATAGGGAAGAGTTGAGACCTGTAAGACGATTTCAGAGCTCCGAGCCTGGTTGAAGGGAGAATGGTGGAGCTGTTAACAGAAACAAACAACTCACAGAATAGGCTTTGAGATTGGTTGTGATAGGAGACATCTGCCTCTTGTTTGGAGTGTTGGGAGATGGAATGTGTGCAAGGGGAGCAAAAATCTTCCAAGAAAGAAGTGGAATGATAGTGAGATAGAGTAGGGATGGGATTCCCCACCACCCCCCGCCCCAAACAAATGCTGGAGTACAGAGCCTGGATTAGACCATAGTGCCTATTTTGGGATGCCTGATCATTAGAGTATTCCAGATATGCCATCTTCCTTAATTCTTACTGCAGATAGGTGAATTCGTTATTATCATCCTCAGGGTTGCCAGTGATGAACCTGAAAGACAGATGGTTGGAAGAGGGATTGGCAAACTTTTGCTGTAAAGCACCAGACGGTAAACATTTTAGACTCTGTGGGCCGTTCAACCTCTGTCACAGTGATTCAGACCCGCCATTGTAGTGTGAAAGCAGCCATAGACAATAGGCCAATGAATGAGTATGACTGGCTTGCAATAAAACTTTATTTACACAAATAGGCAGTGGGCTGGATTGGCATCTAGGTCATAGGTGGTTGAACCCTGCATCAGAGGATGGCATTATTAACAGCAAGTTTGTAGATACTGTTCTTCCACGGAACAGCCTTTGCTTCATTTTTGAAAAGCAGT